GCTCCAGAACCAGCTCTACTTCAAATGTATGGGGATTTCAATCATAGAATCACCTGAGTTGGAAGTGACCCTTAAAGTCCATTTGGTCCAACTCCCCTGCACTGAACAGGGACACCTGCAGCTTGATCAGGTGCTCAGAACCCCATCCAGCCTGACCTTGAGTGTCTCCAGGATGGTACACCCACCACATGTTGGAGCAACCTGTGCCAGTGCCTCAGCATTCTGAAACCAGGGCAGCATTTGTACACCTCAGGCTGAGACAGGGAAACTCAGCATGCTCGGGTACTGACAGTGTCTGACATCCGGGAGATAACTAGATAAGCAAATACTATAATAACTACTTATTGTTCAACACAAATACAACAGGGGCAATGGAAAACCAAGGCTTTCCCCTTTTCTCCCCACCCTCCACTAAATTATGCACCAGCTATGTCATCATGCAGGTTACAGGAGCCTCAGATTGCTGCTTGCCTGCAGCTAACGTTGTGTGCACACAGGGTGCTGCTGCTCGTATACTGCTGAAATGCTTGCACACATACAACTGAAATCACAGCTTAATTTCCTAAGAAATTCTTATCTGCCATACTCATCATTTATCAGTCAAACAAAGATCTCCAATATCTTTGCCAGCCTCTAGCACATATCCGTTTCCTTTTGCTCACAGAAGCCAACCAGTTGCTCATTCACAAAAATCATTCAATCAAATGCTCCATATTCTCAATATTGTCTTTGGAAAGTCTGCCAGGAGTTAAAAACCAAAAAGGCAACAGCTCACCTGTATGCAGGCAAAACAGAAACATGGTGCCAAGCGTGCAATACCAAACATTAGAGACCTCCAGGGCCTTCAGCAGGTCCGAACTTCACAAGTTTGGGTTTCTGCTGTGCATAATATCACTTCCAAAGTCACTTTAAAATGTCCAATCTCCCCTTGGCTCCATCTACACCTCCCTGTGGAATGCATCAGAAAGTGGACCATTAGACACACCTGAGAATGCTGAGCAGCACTGTGTGTGTGTTCACACCAATGTACGGCTTGCTCCAAAAAGCTTCAACAGCGGTGGCCTGTGGTAAAGTCCTGAAAATAAGAGACAAAGAAAGGGAAAAGAAAACATGGACATAAACAAAAATCTAAGAAAGCAAATTAGGAATGAAGGTAACACAAAGGGTCTGGTGGGTGACCTCAGGGAACTACAGGTGTGATTCACAGCTGCTCCAACTTAAGAGTACATCAGATCATCAGATGTTTAAGTGCACAGAGATTGGGAGCACCCAACAGACTTGAAGTGGCAGACTATTGATATGGAGGAACAGGAATGAGGAAAATCATGCGTTTTATGGTGTGGGTCTCTGACATGAAAGGGATTATCATCATTACTTAATATATAAGCCCCACCTCTTCAGAGTTGGACATGAGCAGCCCTTTCAGAGAGGCAGGCCAGCCGGCGGTAGGACAGCCAGCAGTGCTTACCTGGACTTCACAGAACAAGAACTAGGGAGGGTATCCAAAGGTGACATCTCCCGTTATTTGTACGAGATTCAGCTTTATGTCTGGCACCCAGCTCTGATCCCTTCCACCATCAACCCTTGCTCTGGTATCCAAGACTGATACACAAACACCAGCTCCTGCCTCAGCTGTTAGCATTTCAGGCTACAGCCAGCAGACAACCTCCTTGCCTCACTACTCAGCTGTTCAGGGAAGCAGACCCAGGTTAGGGTGCCTTAGTGGAAGCATGCTGTGCATGCTCACCTCAGGGCAAGGGGAAGAACACCAAGAAGCCTGCAGTATTAGAAAGGAACATTTTATTGCAAGAGATTACAGACCTGGCGCTCTGGCCAAAACGTTTCCATTACATTGAAATTGCTACCCACGTATCAGGCAACAGCACCTACAAAGCACGCAGATTGAAATACCTGAACCACGATGCAGTCGACCTTTTTAATAAGTACTGTTCTAAATAGATGCCTTTTTTTTTCTTCCTTTTTTTTTTTTTTTTAAATGGACTCAGGACTGTGTGGAGTGGTTTTTGGAATAGGAAACTAGTGGTTAAGTATCCAGGCCACTAATTACTGGTAAAAAATTGGAAAAGCCTGTCAACTGTAGTACTTAAGTGAGGAGGCTCCTTTCACAGCCTTTACAATTTATTAAAAAATAAGTACTTGTTATTTACTGTTATTTTTTTCCACATACTTGCAGCCATTTTTTTCCCTGTAGATTTTCCAAATCAGGTCAAAGATTGAATTAATGAACAGCCCCTTTAAAGTATTACTGACTTGTAGGATATCATAGGATGAGCTCAGAGAAAGCATTTGTTTCACAACAGCTCTGTAGGAACAACCCTGTAAAGCTGGCCTTCCCAAGCCTCACACTGCATGCACATCTCTGAGCTCCAGTTCACAATTCATGTTCTTTCTGTGAAGCACTTACCTCAGACCTTGATTTTCCTGAGCATGGCTGAAAAAGGAGGAGTTCAAACATAAAATGTCTGGCTCGGGACAAAAATGCCAATTGTTAAAATCCCTCTCTTTGGCACCTTTCATGCTCCCTCTTCCCTTCCCCAGTAGCTACTGTCTCATATACGCTTTTCCTCACACCAAGAAGCCTCAGTCCAGCCCTGACACCACTGCCAGGACAAGCTGACCCTGAGCCAGCAGAAGTTCCACCAGCACGCAGGGCTGGACTGCCTTGGCTCATGGGTGCCAACCACCTAATAGCACAAGCCGCACAATCCATGCGAAGCAGCATATGGCCAAAATGAGTTAAGTGCCCAGGGATGTTTTCCACACATACAGCCTGACCACACTACCACTTGGCAGTGGTTACCATACCCACTTCAAAAGCACATTTCCAAAGTCTTGTAGAAACCTCTTCCAAGGAATGCAAATAGAGCTTATTCCATTATTATTTTTAAGGATGACTTGGAAATAGCACTGGGACTGAATACACAGGCAATCATCTTACAAAGCGTGGAGCTGGACCTCTGGTTTCCTGACTTGTGTATTCTGACACTTTTCATAATTTTCCAAAAGCTGCCACTTAAAGGAGCTTTACCAGAAGGTAGGGTAGGTGCTGGAAGAAGAGTGCAACTCCTGATTCATGGAAGACTGCGATGAGGAACCAAAGCCAACCGACCACTATTACCAAGTATTACTAAACAGCTGCAGTCTTTAGCCTGAAGCAATACAGCCAAGGTGAGCCAAGTCACACTTGTGCTTATACGTGCAATTCTAGAGTCCTGCTCTTCAGCAGAGTGCACCCAAGACACTGAGACTCCCTCACCGATGCCAAGGTCTAAGTGTGCCACACAGATCTCAAAACATGAGATCTGTATAAAAAAGTGACTGATTTAATGAACTCTACCCATTCTATCAGAACCTCTGTAACTATGGAAAGTTGAGCTTTTATCTCCCAGTAGGTATTGACAAAAGATGTTTACTTCCAAGCAACAGAAACCAAATAGCCCCGTCTGAGACCTATAAGCTAAAGAAAGCTTGTGCACTTTTTGATCATTCAGTCCACATCAGCTTTATGTGCAATGAATTCACTAGTCAGAGAACTTCCAGGTTATATTTCAAAACTATATTCTAGCAAGGATCTGATGCAAGCAGGGCAGGAACATTGACAAAAACCGCACAGCTAAGCACTCAGGCAGCTCCAACACACACCCAAAGCCTGCCAATGAAAGCAGCTGCTCCTAACCAGAGAACGTCATTTTGGAAACCAGCCAGGACTAGAGCTTTCTGAACTTCAGACATAGCCTTATATTTTTGGTGTTCACTACTGCGTCCGAAGGAATTAAATAAATTTAACTAGATTTACTATTACAAATCTAGACAAGGCTTTTTTTTCTTCTTTTTTTTCAAATGCTAAATTCTGCACAGTATGGCTTTCCCTTATAAGCATTCTAGATAAATATAATTTGCACTTAATTGGATTTTTCATGTTAAACAGCAACAGAATCTGGTGCTCTGAAGCACCCTTTTTGGTGACATGAGTAAACAACCACTCAATTAAAGCATTACAAACATTCAAGATGATCTGATCACTTCCCTCCGTTCCAACATGTTGCTGTAAATATTTCATTTTCACATCATACAAAAAAATCCCACAATTATATACAAATTCAGAATTTTTTAGTCAGTCTGTATACACATAATATGTCTGCAATACACTTTAACACTCTGTTTATCTTTCCTAAAATCTCTGAAGTAATTTTTATTTCTGGCCTTTAGATGGACTGATGGGTGTTTTCCAGGTTAAAAAACAAAACAAAACAGTAGGAATACATTTGAACAGTGAAGTTTATGTTACCACTAGGAACTTGTACAGTCAAACACCTGGCAGCATTAACCAAATGATAACCTTGCCAGACATAGGATGGCCTTGTCTCAGGACTCCATCCAAGCAGTTGTGGAACTGCTTGTTCCTGGTTCATCTGTTTTACGAGAACGTTAACAAACCTTGTGTGTTAACTGCACACAGAGGCAGATCAACATCATTCACATTTTCCACCAACCAAATGTAACGTGTCTGAACAAGACATTTTATTGCAAGTAAACTTATTTTTACTTAAGATAATGAGAATATTTTAATTTCAAGCAAGACAAATCTATTTCACAAACTTAATTCACATAATGTAAATAAATGCTTCACATTATAGACATTTAGATTTTCTTTAAACCTTTTTTATTTAGAGATTTTTCTGGTAAGGAGATATACCATAGGAAAGCAATTTCACTGGCAGTGAGGTATGTATATACTCTACCAAAATACTCCTCTTGCTTTAACTGCTTTTAACTTTATTTACATATAAGGAAAATATCAATGCATATCCTTGGCTTAACTACAGTATTTGTTACCCTATATGAGTAAAATGAAATGTTATTTGCATACAAAATTGATTTGTAGAGGAATCTGACTTATGATTTAAACAAAAATCATGTTTCAAAGACAGTTTGAATGAACAAACACAATTCAGCATGACCAAGACACCTGCACCATATTTCCATCCTCACAGCACATTTATTTCAGTAATTCTGTAAGTAGGTCCTTAGCATGAGCATAGTGTTACAGTTTTCATACATATAATCACATCCAAAACAAGCTCTAAAATTTAAGTTGTAAACATTCTCTTCATATGTAGAAACATTTCAACCTGTGTTCAAATTTTCTAAAATGATCAACCTTTTAAACAGAATTATAAATGAAAAGTCTACTCTAACCGTGTAGTGAGCGATGCTTATTAGTACATTTCTACAGTGTTAAATAAAATAGTAGAGAGGCAAACTTCTGTAAGCAAGTCAGACTTTAAGTAAATCATCATAAAGAACAAACTTGTTAACAAAAAGATGCTTTGTAATAAAGAAAGTTGGATTGAATCTACTATGATACAAAAACATAAGGGTAAATACCATCTTTGTTGACAAGTAGGAGGTAGCATGGATGCACCACTTTATTGTCAGTGAGAAATGCAACTGAAGTAAAGAATATTTCCTTACCACAAATTTCCAGTATTATGTACATATTTATCTTAGAAATTTGTTTAGACAAGTTTCCCTCCACTTTTTAGTACAAAAAGCCTCATGTGATTTAAAAAAAACACTTACACACCTAGATAGAAGAGTACTAATTGCCCTATTTGAATGAAACAGTCTTTGAACTATGAAGTAACATGGTATTTAATGCCCTAAAGTTGAGTAAATTGTATTAGCAGTTCTTGATATTATACAAAACACTACATACATACAAACAAAATATAATATCTTATTTTACTATGTAATTTTTTTTTTTAATTATTTTTTAGTTTTTTTGGAATAAACAGAGCCTCGATTTGGGTAACACTGCAGAGAACGTGGTTTCTTTGTTTTATTAAAATCTGTCTTTTAAGTACCCATGTGCAACGATTTAAAAATGGCTGCCATACATGTAATGGTCTTGTATTGATAGTGAACACAGTAACTGACAAAAACATAATAAACCTTAAAAACACATCTTCCACCCTATATAAAATATAAAGACTACTTACTGTAACTGTTAAGTATTCAATTTATTTTGATGTTATTGTCATCCACTTCCTCTATTTTTGCCTTTAGGATTTATAAACATAATTTAGTGTAACAATTTATTTAAAAAAATGACAAAGGATTTCAAATTTACATCCAATTAAAATTGAAAATGTTTTCTTGTTCTATGATGCTGCTTCTGCCATCAGTAAAGAAAATGAAGTTTCAGTAATCGAAGCAGGTTTTTTAAGTAGCGATGTGACTTCAACCATGCCAGCTCCAGTCCGTGGAAGATTTGCGTTGACAATGTGTCGCTGCAAGTGCTTTATCCAGTCTTCTTGAACAGACAAAGGTCCTCGAAAGACCAGACCACAAAACCTATGCAAATATTAAAATTGTTCCATCAAGATATATCTATCACTGCTCAAAAATTATGCAAACAAAGCCCTAATTTTCTTGAAGTCTGCCTCTCTATATGTTTAGCTGAAAACCTTAGTAACTAAGTTCATCTGTAGTAACCATAAACACAATTCTCTGCAGTTCATACAAGGTATGCTCCTATGTTTGTAATACTAGGAGTAACAATCTGATCCTCTTAGGTTTCTTTGGAAGAACAGAGTATTACTCAAACATGGCCAATAAGATTTCAGCTAGAGAAATGGGAACTGGCAATTTGACAACTAGGTATGATTGATTCAAATTATCTTGTCCGAATTAATGAAAACAATCAACTGCTTTCCCCCTAGTCTTATCCAGCGTCATCACAAACATTACAGAATATAATCTTAAAAATTCCTACAACTAAAGTAAGCAAGCTCTTAAGAACACAGTCTTTCAATTAAAATAACCCTATGTACCTGCATCTGAGTATGTAAACTTCATCAGCACTATGAGGTAATGGCAGCATTTTTTTCTTGCTTCCAGATCTTGACCTTGACTTCTTTTGCTTACAGTCCAAAGCTAAGAAGAGAGAAATTTCCATATGTAAAAAGCGATATTTCAGACAGTGTCAAACCAGAGATATTCAGTGAGTATTCCCTACAGAAGTGGTGAAAAGATATCTACCTCCTTGTTATTGTATGTTTAGTTATAGCTACATTCCAAAACAATTGTAACATGCTCTAAGAAATGTGCTGGTGAAACATCTAACGCCTTCCTCCCCACCACCACCTCTTTCTTTAAGCACAGCACTTGCAGTTTGAAAGACTAGATAATTGACATTTAGCATTAAACTGTAGTTTTAGTACCAGCAGGCACCTGCTAACTTCTGGAATTATACAAAAACAAAGCACCATTGGAAATATCCTTTCATTCAAAAAAACACTGTCAAAATGTGAAAATTGTTTTGTAATTCAAGTGACGCTGTAAGACCACTCATGTTCAAGCAGGTTGCATCTTCACAAAGTTGTAGCTTTCAGCTAACACAATGAAGAATTTCTAGTTTGAATGCAACACAGGTAATTTATTTTCAAAGAAGCAAAAACTTTTTCCTTTTATACACTATGGATGAACTTCGAATGGAACTTCCTCCTCACTCCTGTCTGAACCGTAATGCATCTTGCAAAACTTATGTATTGATCCTCTACAGTAGAAGATGGTACTATAATAACCAACAGGGATGGCAAGGCCATCTTTTTAAGTTCAGTCTGTTTGAAACCATTTATGAAAGTAATGTGTGTTATCTGAAAATACATAGCAAACAGGTTCAATTTGCATTAAAAAGTTTACACCTTCCATAAACAGATGCCACGGGAACCTACAACAAAACCTGGAGATTCTAGAATGTAGCCAAAGTTGGAGGATGAGGGCATTAAACTGAGTTAATATTGGTATGATGAAAACAGCTGATAAGGCTCAAGAAAGACAAACAGTTTGGGACTGATAAGTGTTATCTAGCTATACTATATTGCAAAAACAAGATACTCACACTAAAACTACAGAGAAATATGAAGGACAGTAATGAGTGATACTGATACTAAAAAGGCATATGCTATGCTACTGAGACATCTTAACAGTGAAATTCAAAAGCTGTTAAACTTGCCTAAGTTCTGACTCGTGTAACAGAAAACAGAAAAGCTTAGTATCCTGAAGCATAAGACGTCATCTGTGGAGGCAAAACATGCTGATTTAAAGAACATACAAACAGCCTCAATTGCATCCGTCATTATTCTTATGTCTTCCAAAAGAGCACCTCTCAAACATGGCTTTTACCTTGCAGCTAAACCTTAAACTTGTAGACACACTGAGCACTTCCCATTTCCATCCCCAGACTGTAGATTCTCACAGTACCTCGAAAAAAAAATGAACGATTTTTGGAGGTCTGAAGGAACCAGAGAATGAATCAGACTGCAGACAAATGGAAAAGGAGGAGACACCAACCTAAAGAAAATTCTTTCAGATTCTGGGTGAAGCCATCATTACGAAAATGAGCCTCAACAGTGTTTTTTTTTTTTTTTTTTTCTCTGACAGTACCAAGAAAAGTAGACTCAATATAAAGCCAGTGAGAAAGAAATGGCCAAGACAACTTCTGAAAAAGTGAACAGATAAGGGGTCCTTACTGTTTTATGTTCTCATCAAAAAGATATCCTTTAGATAATTAGGAAGTCAAATCACTATCTTTAATGCTTTAGGAACTATCAAGTAGTATAAATATGTCACATACTGCAACACCAGTAACAACAGCACCAGTAAGCAGACAAAATACTGAAACCCAGAGGCTGATTCTCTCAAGAGAATTACTTGCATGAGGGAAGACTTATCTGAAGCAGCTGTTACAGCAAAAGCTTTGCCACTGCTGATTTTGCAAAATGTCATGTGAAGGAAACAATTGTAAGTCGCCATTTTCTTTGAATGCAAAGGCAACCAGGAGTTGCACCCGATGTCAGTTAGCTGATGTCAGTTGATACAAACGAGCAAAAAAAACCAGTAGACAGGAGGCTCCACCTAGAAAAGCCCACAGGCATTTGAAACAAGAACTAGCTTGTTTCCTTCAGATTGGCAAACTTAAGAAACTCATTCTCAACAAGAAATTTGATTCTACTCACACACATCCCAAGTATTTCAGAGTCTTCACCTTCTTATTTGGTTTTCTGTAACAGAGCTCCCAAATAGTTTTAAACATATGTATATTCTTCTGGAAAAAAAACCCTCTGAACTACTATGAAATCAAATGGACAGCAACACGGGTAAACAGGCAATCATAGTACACCAGGAGAAGTAGTTACTACTTCCATGAAAGGTATACTTTCTCAAGAACGACTAAAAAAAACCCCACAAAAAACACAGCAAAACAGACATATGGACATCTCTGCACTATTTACAACAGACATTCTAGACAGAAAATACAAAACGAAGAGCAGAAAATATAATGAAGCTTCAAGAAAAACAATAATCAGATCACTCAATGCATTCTTAGAATAATTTAGCTAGGATTGGACATAGAACACATGCCCAGCAAGAAGCTGCTGTTAAAAAACACAAAAAATACTAAGGATATTAAATCTGTGTTCTGCAAGGGTTATTTTTGTTATCTCTGTCTTATGACCAAGTGAATATATTTCTTTACATTTTAGAGGGTGCAAAGCAACACAAGTATATTTTGAAGTTATCTCACTGAAGTAATGAAGCAAAAATGGTGAAAAAGAGTAAGATCTGGGTAAACTTCATTGAAAACTGTAATTCCAACACCAGTTATCAAGAACACACACCAGTAACTGTCACATTAATTCCATTTTTGTCTATCTAAAGAGTAACGACTTTAAGTGAAGTTACATGTCACATCTGCTTACACACTGCTGGTATGATGCCCACAAGCCTTTGCAAGCATCAAATAAGACATACTATTGTTTTGTCTGTAACAAAGCATGTTCTGAACAAAACTCTTTGGATACCTTTACTGTAAAACAAAGGATGATCTCAGCAGAAAGTGTTTTTAGCACTCTCAGGAAGATACCAAAGATAATGCAGTCCTTGCAATGGAAAATCAGACTGTACTTGCAGCAAATTGCCAAAGGGATGGAGGAGCTACATGTAATTATGCCTACTTAGTGGCAAAGACAGCTCTTGAAACTATTAACCTTTGTTATTATGGGCCTTTCTCCATAAAGGACCAGTTCTCTTTGAAAGAAGCCTCCTTCCTTCAAGTTTGGCCACCTGCTGCTTCCAAAAGCCTTTTGCGAACAAAGTTGTTCACCACTTCATCAAAACTATGACACAGCATGACAGAGAGAAAACTCATGTAAAACTAAGGAAGATAACCAGACATTGGAGTGAACTTCTTGAGGCACTCAAGTCCAATTTGATCACAATGTTTAGAAAAATACATGCTATATCAAAAGGCTGCATATAAAAAACTACTGCACCTGTGATAGTTTATCAAGAAAGACTGACAAGCAGATGGTGATAGGAGGTTACAATCAGCACATCTAGGACAATATGTATTACAAACGTCACAACTGGAGATCCTTAATTCCATGATCTTTGGTCTGAGTCTCAAAATTAAAACACACCTATGCTAAACTGTGTGCTCCATCTCTTAATATCCTCCAGAGTGGAACACCTTTCTTTTCAGTAGACCGAAGCCCAGTCTTTATTAAGACTTCATGACTTTTGTCATAAAATATGACACAAGTTGAATAACTGCATACATAAGTGACTCTAATTAACCATTTAAAAACACTGCCAAGTTAGAAAAACATCCTTCTTGTGTATTTATTCACTAATTAGTCAAATTCAATTTTTTTTTTTTTTTTTTTACCTCGTCTCATCATTATTGCAAACTACAATGCAAAAGAAATCCAGATTTTTTTTTTACATATATATATATACACAATACTCCAGTAATTTGGTTCTCTGAAGGATTTTATGCAATGCTAAATTCAGCCCACTGCACTGGCTGATCAGCATCAAATAAAGACATGCAAATCCAGCAGATCTCTGATCCCTGCTGTGGTTGCACACGCTTATACAGCAAGCTCCCTGAAGCTACAACTGCAATATTAGAGACTATTTGGAAAGGTGGTGACTTCAGCCATACTGGCTCCAAGACAAAGTCCTTACTTGTATATTATTGCTCTCTCCCAAACTTCTGGGAGAGTATACTCCATCTACAGAAGCAGAGAGCAAAGAAGAAAGTGATGACTCCCAGAAAACGCCAGCTGTTAAGAAGAGATTAAGTAGGTGGACAGAGTAAGAAAAAGAGAAGATGTAAAAAGCCAAGGTGTAAGACAGAACTAGGAGATTTTAGGTAAAAAGAGAAGCCTGGTAAAAAGAAAAGAAAGGGAGATGGATATACAACTGTACCAAGAAGGGCAGGATGCATTTAGAAGATTTTGCACAGGTCTGTTTGATAAGAGTCATTTTTATACATGCTCTTGAGAAGACCATCATGCAAACACTAATACAAAAGCCAGTAACTATAAAAATGAACTCAGTGAAGCGTTTGCTATGCATTGGTTAAGCACAAATTAAGCTTAATAACAAACACTAATTTTGAATAGCCAACAGCCTAGAAAGTTCCACTTCTGAATGTTTTTCTCCTGAGTCCATTCTCAAAATTCATGCAACTATGTCAGTTATAACTAAAAATGTCAAGTTGCATTTAAAAAATTGGAACCGGTAACATGATTGACTAAATGAAAAAAATGCTGATTCTGAAAAAACATGGGCAACTGGTAGAAAAGCAATATGATAACCATCTATTGAAAACATGAAGACGAACTGAAAAATTGAGTAGACTAGTGCATATACTAATGTAGCCCTGGGACAGCTCTCACTTAGCTGACTTGTACTTGTTTTACTAAACAGTAACACCTAGATAGCTCCCATAACAACTGCCAAATCATAAAAGAACTAGAGCTTTCATGTTTGCACACACTTATTAATGACAGCAAGAAACTAAGATAAATATGGTGACTCTGCCCATGGCAGGGGAGTTGAAATCAGATGATCTCTGAGGTCCTCTTCAACCCAGGCCATTCTGTGATTCTGTGATATGCAACTAAGATTTCTTTATGGTAGTTCTGTATGCTTTAGAAGGTGTATGAAATCACCTCATGAAAATTAAAGAAGAAACCTGTATAAATATATTATCATTGTCTCCGTAAGAGTTCCAAGCTGAAGCCAAGCAGAAGATGTCTACAAATGGCTCTCAGCCACAACTATTTTTCAAAAGATAAGCTGAAATCTGCCCAAGCACAACATTCAGCAAAGTTTTAAATCACTATGTCTAGTGAGATCTTGTAAAGCTGTCATCTCCTAGCAAAACTTCCAGTGTACTGTGCAGTATCAGGAAAAAAAAAAAAACAAAAAAAAACAGTTTAAAATTGTATTATCTGGTCTACTAGGTTTACACTGAGCTTGCTCAAATGAAAAGTCAACAAGTAAGCTGTCAAATTTATAACTTTTGTAACTGTGCAAAGTTTTTAATGGTAACTACTAAATGAGCACATGTGCATTGGTTGCATAATATTATAGCTATAACTTAAGTCTCCCTTAAGTCACCATTTTCAGTGAAATGCCCTTATCTGCATGGCACAGACTATTAATTTAGATCAGTTCTATCTTCTGAGATTAGAAGCAAGTTTTTGTTTTTTTTTGTTAAACTTTCTTTCTAACTTCATTTTAAACAAACTTCTAGTTCCAATGATACAAGACCCAGGAGGTGTAAGTACTTAAAAAGAAGGCATCAACTGCTCAGATGAGCATGCTATCATCAGCTTGCAAACTGTTCCTTAAAAAAAAAAGACAACCACCACCACCAATAACAAAAAACCCAACAACCACAACACAACACAACAAAAAACTTCCAAAGCTGCATCCACATTTCCTATTTAGCTGAGGGGAAAGAAGCTTCTCTAGGCTCTGTGTACTATTTTCTTTGCCTCAGTGTCTCCTTCATTTAATAACTGATAGATTTTAAAGTGCAATTTAAATACAGTTATATTTAGCAATAGGTATAGAAGCAAAATAACTCACCACAGGGCTAGTACCTGACAGGAACCGTTCGGATGTGGTGCTCAGGAATGTGATTTAGTGGAGGGTGGTTAGTTAGGGTAGTATGGTTAGGTCGTCATTGGACTCTATGATCTTTCAGGTCTTTTTCAACCTAAGCAACTCTATGATTCTATGACAGCAGTGGTATAAGAAGTCTATTACCACCATCTTTCTACGGCGTAAAATGAAAACTTTCAGAATCACTAAAATCACATTCTCATACACAATGGATATTAGTGCAACTGTTTTCACTCTGAATCTACTTTATTATATCATTATGTATAACAAGACCTGGCATCCACAGGCTCAGTGTGTAAAATACATTTAAATGTTATTCAGCCTGTCACAGAGAAAGCCTGAAACTATTTGTTGTTATATATATAGCATAACAAATCACATCTACAGATAAAAAATGGAATTATATACTTTTTCAGCATTATGTAAATGCCTGTGCTTGTCAATACAGGAAACTGATTGCTGTACTTCTGAATTACTTCACAGTTTTAAATTTGTCTCTAAGTTCTCCTCACTGTATTCCACGTTTGCTCCCCAACTTGCCACTGACCGTACAAAATCCCACTAATCTGAGCAATACTCCAAGTAAACTGAGGAATCTGCCTACAGCCAAGAAAACTGCATGTCTCTGGAAATGAGTCAAAATACAGAATACTAGAAGATTTTCAATAAACGTGTGTTTCAATAAAAAAAAGCATTAATAGCAGTGCCAAGTGCTGTACCACACTCACTCTATTGTCAATCACTCCATGATTGGTTTGTAAACCAAACAAAAAATGAAAACAGCTACATGTACTATGTTGGTAGAAATATACAAGTTGGAAAATTACTTGGTTCTTCCGTTTTTTAGCCACAGTATTCTTAGTACTTATATGTAATGTAATTATTTCTTAATGTTTTTAATTGTTGAGGTACTTATAAAGACTTTATTGGATGGTCAACTAGTTGGTTTGGAAAGTGTGATATCGTGGGAGAATGAATTTTGAGTGAACATCTCTTAGTTTTGCTTACACATACCTTAAGTGTTGGATCCAAAATAAATGAGTAAGAATGAAAATCAGACATGAGAGTGGACAACAGCAACATATCTTTGTTTACAAGTTGCTGAAGTTTTATGGCAAATAAATTCTTTATCAACGGAAGCTTCAAAATTATTTTGAATTAACATATGCTTTTGTCCAGTCTGATGAGGAAAATGTATCATAGACAGACTTGCTTTTACATCTGTAACAAAACATACCTGTCCCAGTCAAAAGTCCAGCACTCTTCTTTCGTGCATAAGCGCGTAAGTGGTTGGACAGGCTAACAGCACTTGTAAACGTCGTATTGCAATGCACACACGTTCTAAGCTTCACAGGCATACCTATCATTCAAAAGAAAACTATAATCCAGTTCTCTCTTCAAAAAATGAAATTCTCAAAGCGTTGTAAAAGGTTTTCTGTAATAAAGATGGTTTTAATATATTCACTGCATTGATGCAATTGTTTAGTATATTAGAAGGATCGAAGTTAACCATCATTAGCTTTCCACGTAGTGCTTTAAGCCAAACCTTGTTATTTGAAAAGAACAGAAGGAAGGCAACTTGAATCCATTAGGCTACTCTGCATCAGGCTACTAACAAATTCCTACAGATCTCCGTATCACGAAGCTCTATTCCCAAAACACAATCCTGTAATTTGAATAGCACAGTACTGTTGAGAAATTTCAGAGCTTGTAACATTTCCAATAAAGAGAATTTTAAAAGTCTGGTTGACAAAGTGGTAATTAAGTGTTTTACCCATAAGACAAAAAGGCTCAGTACTAAATCAGGCTACTGTTGAAGGCTTAGAGAGAAAGGTAGTAAAGCACATAACTGAACATCTGTTAGACAAAACATTTTGTTCAGTGCATTTTCTGTTCATTACTTTAGATACGTCACCAATAACGAAAGTTAACGATTCAAAGATCTTTGCTAAAATCTCTGCTAAATAACCGACAGAGCAGCATGCTTTTATCACAGGAAAATAGTGAAAGTGCAACAATACAGAACCCCTCACTTACCAGACAAAGAAAGCATTATTACTTCTCCCCTGCCCAACTTTACCATAATGTTCTCCCCTCATTTTACTAAATATATACTGTTTCCAGTTCCCTACTAATAAATTACTAGAAGAACAGATAAAAAAGCCCAATCTACTCAGAAAGAATGCTTCTGCTTGCAGGAAGGAAAGAGTTTTATTCTCCAGCAGCACACAGAAGATGTGCAGTTTTTTTCAGGTAAGTTAAAGAAGAAAGTCTGGTTGATTTAAAAAACAAATAACAACAACAACAACAACAACAAAAGGAAAAAACCACAAAACTTTCCGAAAACTAAAAATGGGATTAGAAACATTTGTCATTTTAGGAAGAACTGAAGATTTCAACTTGATGCTAAATACTTTCTCACCAACTCAACTGGCACAGTGCGATCGTTAGTTGTCAAACTGTTACCTCAGCCACAGATAATTACAGGGCCCCAAACATAACTGTTAGTATTATGTAAGCACGTGTTTATTTTAACCCGATTGTTCATTGCAACCAAACAGGTGCTGCTACCCAGCACTCAGCAGTAAATATTAAACAGACAGCAATAACAGTGTCTGTTTTGGCAAGCTTCTCCTCTAGCATGGTTTTTCAAATAATTAAGCCTGTCAAAGACACACCTTCCCATATAAAGTAACCTTTCTTCAACAACAACCACATATATCCACATGACATTGAACGTAATTCTGTTTCACTTCTGTCATTTTAGAAAGCCACCTTAAGAAATTGATCGTCACACTTTCAATAGTCCCTTAAAAGAACTGAGCACACTGGGCTTCTTATTTCTTTAAGGGCAGACAAGAATAGAGGTGAAAAAAAGTACAAGGCACTGCCAATTTTACTAACCTGCACTGGGTACTGATGAGAAAACCAACAGAACCAAAAGTCATGAGTATAAAACTAAGATCCTTCTCCTCAACCTAAAGAATCTTGCAGCACCATAAGGTGGTGCTCCAACAAGAAACAGGTAAATGCAAGCTCTGCACACACTGAAAAGAATCCTCCTAGAATTTCCCAAGACAAGAAATAACTCTTATGTGACAAGTAGGTTAAAAACATCACTCTAAAAAAACTGTTTCCTAAGTACAGAGTATCTGAAAGTTGATTACAGAATTGCCCCATCAGCATAAGTCTCACTGCAGGGAACATCTTCATCCCTATCAGTCCAGTGCTGCATATCAGAACCTTACTGGCTACAGCTGTATTCCAACTAACACACATCTTCGCTCAGGACACACAGATCTTAAGAAAGCAACAGTTTCTCAGAGCAGCCACAATTTTAAAACAAACAATTAATCTATGGTGTAAGAGCATGTTTGCCTAAAAACATCAAAATTAGTCAAGAGAAATTAATCAGTTTAAAACACTATGTGCTAATAAAGGGATCGACAGTTCTGTCAGTTCGAGCAAATGCTGTTTTGCACAAAACTCCAAGATTTAAACAATGTGATTCTTAAACCAGCAGTTTTAAAGCCCAGAAACAGGGTCACAAGCCCAAACATCTCAGAACTGTTAAATCTACCATACATGCCCGGATACTTCAACACATGGTTACTGCAGGATCTGTCTTCTTTCTTTTTGAGGCTCATTTTGTGCCCAGTTTGAATCTGTAAGGCCCAACCATACGCAGAACAGGTACTACATTCTGTGCCAAAAGCCCTCAGTACTGAATATTCACTTAATAAAAAACACACAAGAAAAATTTCTTGCGCTACCTCTCGGAGTCAAGGTTCTCTGGAAATGAAACAAGAATTAAAAAAACAAATTCCCAAATAAAATCCTCTCCACTTGTACATTTTCTGTGAATTAAAACATTCGTTTGGAAATGCTGTGAAGACAGCGAGAAACACCTTCTTACCTGACTGCATAGTCAAGTCCATTTTTTGTGGCTGATACATCAATGGACTGTCTTCATTTAATGGAAGAACACATTTCTGAACAAACCTCTTTCTCGCAGTTTGATTATGAATCTTTTGAGAAGAAATACCAGGACTCCTTTCTTCTCCTAACCTTTTATTTTTCAGAAGTTCTATCAGTGTAAGTGACTGATTTTTTTTTTCATTATGTAGTACTGCCTTTGTTTCATCACATTCATTTAGGAAACTCAGCCCTTCTTCCTCTGATGCAGACACAGATATATCTTCAGTCTTTAGGCCATTATGGTATGCTTCGAGAGGTATAACATTCTGAGATAAAAAGTCATCATTTGATGCAAATTTCTGAGCAACAAAGGGTCTGGGAATAACACGGCGACTATTCAAAGCCTTTAGTATTTTTTCATACTTCTCTTCATTTTGCATCATCTCATTCAAAACACAGATCGGAGACTTGTGTGCATCCCACTTGGTTTTGCCAAGCCTCTTCAGGTGTCCTCGCACATGATTTGACAATCCAATTTTAGTATCAAACCAGCCTCCGCAGAGCTGACACGTGTGCTCAGAGGAAGTTTCAGATTTCTCAATTGCTACAAAGAAAATAATTTTCATGTATTTTGACAATTATGTACTGTTAAATATTACAATAGCAAATCACAAGGACGAAGAGAGGCTTTACAACAAAATAAAGCAAGTCTTGTTTAGTGCTCAATTTAGTGCACTTTGTCCCCTCTACACCAAAACTTAAAAAAAAAACAACAACAACAATAAACAAATTTTAAAAACACATACCTTTTCTAACACGTTTAACAGGAGTTCCTGTTCCAGTTCTTTTAAAATGTTGCATTTTGTCACTTGTTGCTATCTGTTCTGGTGAAACAACATGACGGGCTTCATAGCTTAATCCAGCTCTGTGAAGATGTCCTCTGACGTGGTTGGACAATCCAACACCTGTTTCAAAGGTTGCTGGGCAGTATGGGCAGGACTTCTTTTCAAGTGACAGATCAGTCCAATGGAAAACTGAATTATGCTTTGGCAATGCTGATCCTACATTTTCTAAATTCTGTGCATCATGCAAATCATGCAGGAAGTTACTACTCTCAGCATCTTCATAATACTCAAAATAAAAGCCATCATTCTGCTCATAACTAAGTGAAGATTTATCACCAGCTTCATGATCTTCCATTTTACCTTTGAATATGGGGAATAGGCTTACATGCTCCTGATTAATATCACTGTAAGATTCATCCTCCACAGACCGCGTAGTGTAATCACATAGTTCAGCATTATCCCATGAACTTTCATCCTCCGTTTCATAGCTGTCTTTTTTTTCAGCAGAGTTAAGTCTCTGTAAAACAACAACAGCCATTTTATGCAGAAAATCTGAAAAGCAATCCAAACCATTTCCTGTAACAGTGCCATCCCTCCTTAACCACTCTTTTTACAGCTACATGCTTATTATCTTTATAGCCTTCTGCTCCTTTGCAATTAAGATTATCTGAATCCATGACAAAAAATTAATATGGATGCTACTTGATGGAGAAAATAAATGTAAAGAACTCACAGAGATGGACTCTTAAACATAAACAATAAGAATCAGTATAATTTTTAATTGTAGTTTTCACATTTAGGTCTATGTAAATAATTATTGCTTGCTTTGACACTAGCTCTCTGTTTTGCTGCTTGATGAGAACTTTCTAAGTTTCTGGTCACTATTATTTCTAATCAAAAGGGTCTCGTCTGGAGAATTTAGACTGCACACACTTACAGATGACTGTGAAACGCTTTTCCGAGCCTTCTGTATCCTGTAGGGTCTCTTGTGAAGTTTCCCAAAGTTACTGGACTGTGAAGTAGAGCCAAATGATCGTTTTACATCTTGTTTTAAAACTGAGTTCTTTGGAAACGTAGAAGATTGTTTTATCAACTGTTTTGTCCTGCTACCAAAATCTAAAGATTCTTCTATTATGCTGCTTTTTCTTTTTTCTAGTCTAAGATGGCTACCAAAGGGATCAATGCAAGATGCTGGATGCAAATATTCCATGTGTTTTTTTAAAATGCTTCTAGCTGAAGTTGTAAATGGACACATCTTACACATGTACGTCGATGACTTCTTTGAGGATCCTAAATATGGATCTTTCATGGATGCCTTCTTCTGTGACTTCCTCTGGGACATGTCACTACCAATAACAGAACACTTGACTACTGCTCCATGAGCAATCCCTCGATGGCATTCAAGTTCATTTTCTGTCACAGCCATGAAATTGCATTCCTCACAGCAGTAGTATCTTTTATCTTTTTCATGGGTCTTTGCATGCTGCACAAATGTTTTGGGACAATTGGTACCAAATACACACTGTGGGCACTGTAACCGTGCACTCCTACCCTCATCCTGAAGCTCTTTCAGCTCACGGATTTCTTCCATCAGTTTCTGTCTTCGTTCTTGGTGAATTATCATGTGTTTAAGAAGTGAATTACGATCTCTAAATGTCCTCCCGCATTCCCTACATGCATAAGGCCTGGGGACATTGAGATGTCGGAAATGGCTGTTCCCATCTAAATGGTACATCATATGCCTATGCAGATGTTTCTTCTCCCTAAAATTCACATTGCACTTTGTACAGGGATAAAATGATGGTTCATCAGTACTGAAGGTAGATGGTGATTCAGAATCATTCTGTTCACATTTATTTTTTAAAGTATTGGAAAGAAAAGTGCTAGTGTGAACAGGAGAAGCATCCTCTGCACAGCTACCAGTGGGACTATAAATGAGCTGCTGGATAGCATCAACAGCTTCCAGCTCTTCATCTGTGGATTCAGGCTTTACTTTACTCAACGAGTATTTCTGAGGTTCTACTATTTGTAGTTCCTCATTCTGTTCTAAGAAGTCAACAGTTACCAGTTTTGACTTACTAGGAATATAAGTAGTATCACCAAAACAGTCTTCAGTATAGCGTGTTATTTTACTAACATCCATTTTTCTTTTTCTCTTTTTTTCTAAACCTACTTTACAGTGAATTGGAGACTTCTCTATTGTTTCTTCATTTGTCATAAGAAACTGTATAAACTCTTTCTGTGGATCCCAGCTGGGTTCACATCCCGATCTGAAACCACCTGTACCTGAGGAAATGCCTGTTAATGCATCAACACAATCGTCTTTTACCAGTAAATTTTTATCATCCTCACAAACTTCTACTTGGCCTACTAAAGTGCTGTCTACACTATTTCCTACTGATTTCTGTGAGTCACAACCAACTGAAGCAGAGGTAGGTAAATTTTTAATGGAATGAGTCACGTTCTTAGCATGTGCTACATCAGGTAACAAAAATAAAACTTGGTGCTGATTTGAATTTTCTGTTGTACTCTTTGCAGGCAGCTGAAGATCATGAACCACCGTCAAAGTTGAGCAGGAATCTGTATGATGACCTACAGGCTGTCCAGTGGTTAGTGAAACACTGCCTTTATTCATAATGGAAGTTTTTGTTGAGGTGGAGTGTGAAACTGGTCCATTAACAGCAGTTCCTCTAGACAAGATAAAGTTTTCACTAGAAACAGTAGGAGCACCAGTGTGTATAAATAGAGAAGTCTGGCCTCCACTTAAGGCTTTTTCAGATCTGTCCCTGGATAGCTCCTCAGGCAGAGTCAATGTACTGTTTTTCTGAAACAATGTGTCACTCTCTTGTGATTCAGGAATGCCACCTTCCTCCTCAGATACAAAATCACATAGGATTTCCTCTTCTTCTTCTTTAGCACCAGTAACTTCAGTATTTATCTCTAAATCATCCATGTTGCTGGTCTGTCCATTAAGTACATTTATACTAAAACAAACAAACAGAAAACAACAAAACAAGCAAGAAAGGAGTCAGAATCACAGAAATATAAAAATGGCAATTTTAATTTACAATTTTCTCTAGGACCATGCTCCTTCACACTGTAGTCAGAATGTTTTGAATTGAAAAAATATATTCTAACTAGTTTGAAACATGTTTTAAATTAATCAGTAAAGGAACCAAAAACTGCATACTCTTCTTTTTTTCTTTTCTTTTTTTTTTGCTAGGCTATATTAATAACCATACAGCACTGTCTAGTATTATCTCAGTCCAAAATGAGTCTCAACACTTACATGCAAGGTGGAAAAAAATATGACAAAAACTGTGCAAATGCATTTTGCATGTACATTCACTTGAGCATACTGTTTATCCTTAATTCTGTTCTAAAAGTAAAACAAGTAAGGAGTTAAGGTTATCCAGACGGCCACTACAGTCATTTTAGTGATTTTTATATTACTTTTTAAAATGTAATTCCCTTTGAGACCTAAGAAATAAACCAAAATAATTTTTATATATCTCAAGATATCACTTCTTTCAAAGCACTTGTATAGTTGACATAATGATATGCAGGAGCTTGCAATGCCTTTACTTGGGTATTAATAGAGAATACATCCACTAGGCCAATTTTGGACATGTAATTGCTGCTGCAAACATAGCAAAGGATCAAATTCACTGAAGAAATGAAATGTTTTCCCATTATGTTCTTAAAATGTGCTCTCCTCGCTTTAAGACAAATACATAGATCAGATCCTGCTGATGTTTGCCATTTTAAATGGGCTCAGAACAAATAAAACAGATTTTCTTAAAGGTGGAAAAAAAATAAGCAGTTAAAAAAATATTTAGTTAGGATTTATCTACATAACGAAATCACCACATTGAATTCAGTGTATGACAGAGAATATTACAAATTAATTCTTCACGTGTGTTAAGTATGTCTTTCCATAAGCAAATTCCATTTACACACAAAACAATCTACCCAATGCTTACTAAGTACAAAGAAGTGTCCTGCATACGGGTCTTGAGAACACAGTAAGTGTAAGGCATTAGAACATCCACCTAGGAGATGAAAACATTTACCTGCTTTACAGGAAACACATTATTTTACCCTGGAATTGTACTTTCATATTTTAGGGGATTTATGTCTGCCATCACATACTTAATATCAGACATTAATCAACGTTTTGAATAAAGAATCCTGTTAAATGGAGTCATTACCTAGACTCTTCAAATCACGGTGTTATAACTCACAACAAATGTCCATGGCTCCTTGCAGTGGTCCTTCATCAAAACCAAGGAAGACCACGCTTGACATCCTTTTTTCCTAAGGATAAAAAATAAGCTGTTTAAAGGGCACCAATTTCATCTTTATACATCACACACCAAAATGAATTCAGAACTATTAGTTTTTCCAATTCAACATCATGAACATCAGCTGTCCATGTAATTCAAAGCTATCCAGAACCTCATGAAATTCTGCACTCTTCAAATCAGCAAAATGACAAAATAATCTAATCTCCTTAAAGTTTCTAAATAACAAACCCCAGTATACTGCATTTTTTCTTAACCATTTTGAAGAAAAATAAACTGTATATGTAGTACAAATAAAGTGAAAAAAACCTTTTTACAACAAGGAGTTCAAAAAGTGTTTTCTTTGCTACCCAGTTAGTGATCTACTCAATTTAGCAATGCAGCTGTACTCACATCAGCTCAGTAACAAATGCCCAATGCATATGTAATGATTGTATTTATTAGACTACTTGTATGTCCTAATGTTCAACTAGATACTCCAGATATCTGTCTTCATTTTGTAAATTTCTGAGTTTCTTTGCTCTTTTCAGATGAGTCAGTTTCTACACAACAAGAACTTCCAATAACATCATATTCACAGTATCATCCTTAAGTGGTGATAATGCACTACGCAGCAGGAGTCTTTACAATGTAAATACAAGTTAGAAAAGGGTACTACAAACATGCTCTAAAAAATCGGTAGTGTAAAAAAAAAAATCAAAGAGGGGAAAGCTCCAAAGACACAGAACTGTTCGAATGATTTTATAACTGAAAGTATAGGCTCCATTTAATATTAGGCAGCAGACTCTAAAACGTTCCAAGAAAGTTTAGAAGAAATACAGTAAGTCAGCTTTTCCTTCATTTTGTCACTGCAGATGTAGACAAGTGCATGCTCAGTCAATTTCAGAGCCTACATTAGTTTTTCTCAACAGGAAGCAATGTTGCTAACAAAGTGGTAAATTCAGTGTTAATGAGTGGCTTCACTGTTACCACCTCTGAGGTAAAACCTTCCACGTTCCAAGTTCCACCCATCTGTTGTGGTGTTAGGGGTTCAGAGGAAGAACAGACGCTTCCCATTTAAAGCAACCCCACTGGTACCCCCCAAACAGCAGGGAGGCTGACTGAGAACACGGAGATTGCAGCCCTCATTATCAAATGGCTCCTGAAAACTTTTCACAGGTTTACAGGGCGAAGAAAAATCATTGCTCCATATACAAAAACTGTGTGCATTATTGTTAAAACCTAAGTTAAAACAAGGAGGAGAAGGCACCATACAACCACATCAAACTTCAGGACTATCATGAGCAATATCCAAAACATTACATCGTGCAATCTCAAAAGAGACTCCTTTCTGTATTGTGTATTTATGGAGATTGTGAACTATTCCATATGGATCTGATTAGAAGACATCTATGGTAATACAGCAGTCCCTACAGATTTCAGGCTTTGAATTAAGCCTTAGTGGCTTACTATATCGACAATATTGCTGTTACTTTTTAATAATTTTCTGCTAATTATCACATTTTTCCAGCTATCGGGGTGGTACTATTCACTATTAGGTGTGCAGGACAACAAAAGGAGTTAGCATTTTTAACAGTGTATTTAAAAAAAAACATAAGACATTCTTAGATCTGTGAATATTGTAATAACAGGGAGCCAAAATGCAGTACTGTACATATAGGAATTTGCTCAATAACAATGATGCCACATAATGCCATTACTTTTGAGAAGAACATTACTATTATTTCACTCATGCTATTCAGGAAGCACAATATCCAGACTGAAATGCTACATAACCCTGAACTACTTGGAAAAAAAGAAAATCAATCATTGAAACAAAGATTTAACAAAGAGTATACAATAATCTTTGCGTATTTCCATATAGTTTTATAGCTTTCTACACCACATTAAAAACACACACTGTACTAGTTCTGTCAAAATACATGATAATTAATCCTTAGAGTACTTGAAACTTAAACACTGAGATTAAACTTCAGATTTAATATTGCAAATAGTGCTTGCCACATCCACTACCAGGGCAACGCAGTTGATTTTTTATTTAGGAACATTCACACAGAAGATGTGTGCAAAACAGCAGAGCACAAAAAGCCTACACAAGCACCACAGTTCTAGGCTCATACCTTGGCAACTTCAAAATTCTATCCAATTATTTTATGTAAACTTAGAACAAATGAAGCATGGTTAACAGTCTTGTTCCTGACTTAGGTGATCCACTGTTTATTACAGTGGCATTATTTCATTTTTGAAAGTAGAAAACGACCAATTATTTTGCCAACTAAGCCCAATTCCAACTGATTTAATTAAGTACTTTTAAATTTACATTTTCACTTTCTAAATACTATTTTTACTCATAAAATATCAGTTTCAAATCATAATTAGTTCTGCAGATACGAATGCCCGTGGCCAGATACTCTAAGCATTAAAAAAGTGTAAGGTCAGATCTGTCTTCAAGCTGACAGATCATCATTTAAATGCCTTAAGCTAATCTTGTAGTCACAAAAATCTTGAACATCAGTATTTTTGCAAACTATCAGCACTTGCTATAACACCCTTACTACACTACATCTTGAGGTTACTACAGAAGAAATGAGGTGATAATTGCATATTAACATAATTATTCGGTAATCCCTCTCAGCAAGCTTCCCAGGTCACTCAGTAATTCAGATTAGATGCAACCTTCCTGTCATCAAACCTATGCTGTCCACTTTCTGTTCATTAAGAATTCTTTTTGATAGGAATCTACTTAATTCCATTGTTCTATGTACATTATTAATTGTATTTATTACAAGTAGGTTTATGACATTTCCAAGCTGCTATTTCATAATGACAACCCTTACTACATAGCAGTGTCACGCACCAAATTGCAGTGCCTTCCCACAACACTAGTTCATTAAAGCTTACACTGCAATGCTAAGTGCATTCCGCTGTTGTCTACGAGCAGATACAGCTAGAGCTTTCTCCACTTCTGTTACAATAACGCTGTTTTACAAGCATTTATATCAGATGGAAAGGATACTGCAGGTGAAAAATTAAGTTGGAAGAACATGGCTGAGATTGAGAAAAGCATTAAGTGTCTCTATGTGTTTTGATATCAAGTTTCTCACCAAATACATAAATATAAACCAGTGAGCTAAAAGCACAGAGTAACTATTAAGTATCACAATGACTTAAGTCATCTCCTAAATGGGTTGAATTTACTTGCTAAATTAACTGAAGAAACACTATTTACACAGTGCTACAACAAAGGCAAAACTGAACTTGTCCTGTGCCAAGTAACTAGTCGTTGATTCCAGTTCCTTAAGCCAAATCCATGAAAAACGAAGGTATTTGAGATTATTCAAATATTCAAGTAAAGGTGTTGCAGGCTTTTACTGATTCCATTAACATTTGTTATTCCTTCAAGACTTTGTTATTAAAACATAAAAAAACTAACAGATATCATCACTTTTATCCAGAAGCTTTGCTGAAATAAAGCCTTCTGGAATGACAGCTGATGGAACCAAAGTCACAGATTTCCAAACAACAGCTGACTAAAGAACTTTAAGCACACTATGGCACCAGGCTAAGGCAGAGAGGATCCCTGTTTTTCCTCAGCATGCAGTCTATTCCTTTACTAATTTGATTGTGGTCCACTGACAAGTACTGAGCTTCCATCAAAAGTGAAATGTTTGGAAAACGAAGACTCACGCAGAACAGGAGGAAATTGTATAAATGCTAACTGCATAAATTGTATAAATCAACAGGAGGGGATGAGAAAGCCAAAAAGCTTGTTTCCCAAATAGCCAAGTGTATAAGCATAACCTTATCACACCTTTATGAAGAAAAAAAATCATCTTATTTGGAGGGTATCTGGACAACATTTCACAATGCTTTAGCCTCTTCCATATAACAGTGCACACACTTCACACCTACTGAGTATGGGGTGCTAGCAGTAATAATACTCTAAGATGATAAAATTATGGCATTTTAAATCAGAAGAATACCTACTAATAGTTTTCCTCTATCTATTAAAATCTCTCCTGATCCACCTCCCAGATGAAAACAGAACCACAACGCCTGACAACCACGCAACAAACCAGTGATTCACTTTGCCTTCGCCAAGCTTGTTTGCAAATTCAGCCGTTGAAAATACATTCAGATCTCCACAGCACAGACAGACTACTAACTCATAAACTGCCTTACTGAGCTTTGAAATACACAAATTCATCTGAACATTTCTGGGAATTTTTAACTCCTGCAGTGAACAGCGAGCTTGCTTAGCACGCACTGCCCAGCACCATCAGTACTGCCCTCTCGCACCTCTACACACAGGTGTATGGTCAGTAACATAACTACAGTCTGAGCAGTTCCACTGAAAACTAAACAAGTTCTGATGTGCAGCTGGCTATGTGAAAGCCCAAGCATCAGCATCAGAAAGCTCTCATACTTACTTGGGCTCCCATATTAAGAGTGATTTTCAAAGCAGTAAGAAAATTCACTGATGCAACACTATGAAAAATACAGAAGTTACTGCAATGGACAGGGATCCCAATGACTACAATATTACAAATGTTTAATTTTTATTTTTTTTTTTAATTTTAAAACTGCAAAGATTGTTCCCAATTCCTTAAAAAGGCAGCAAGAAGTAAGTAAACCAAAATGGAAAATTTTCACCAAGTTGTCATATTTCTCTATGAAAAGATGACCAAAGAGAAACTTACATAGGAGTCTTTTATAATTACACAAGCTCGCAGAAGATCAACACAATTAGGGGAGGAAAAAAAGAAACAATAAATGCAACTGCCATTGCACAGCAAAGGAAAATTCACCATTAGTAGTCACCAGCTACACAGCTTTACCACAAACTTTACCTGTATTTCCAAAAAAAAAAAAAAAAAGCAAAATAAAGCAAAAAACAAATCCAAAGCATTTCCAACACAGAATATTGGAAAGTAAGGAGTATTTTATTTACTAATTTGAAGTTTTAGGACTGAGAATTCTCTAAGCAACAAAAAGACAACATCAAGTCTACAA